AATAGTTTTGTATCAATACATGATTACACGTAAATTGTTTACATCCACTGAACACAAGTTTCCAGAGGTAGGTCATACTTTTCTTGATTGTGACAGAGACTTTGGCCGTATAGAAAAACTTTTAAGAAAGCATGAGAAAATATTTACTCCTAATCAGTACAGAAACATAATTAAAAAGGCATCAAAAAATAACTCAATAATAGAAGATATGAACCACCATTTTTATGATTTCAACAAATTAAAAGATGATTTAGGAATAGTTAATAAATAAATAACGCACACACTCAACATAGCCCCGCACTAGGGAAACCCTGTGTCGCGGGTGCCATGGACACACACATAGACAACCACAAATTACACCCAAACTCACGAGATAAATAATTGTAGGCCATACTACTATTTCTCCCGGCCCGGGAATCGAACCTGGGACCTCTGCGTGGCAGTCCGGCATGGTAACCGTTTGGCCACGGAGGCAGTTATACCAAATAGTAATACCAAACTTAAACTCATTAAGACAAAAAATCAACTTTAAAGTTCATGTTAAATGGATACGCATTGAAGATTATGGTAGATATTTATATAAAACCAACTACGACCCCAACACACCATTTTTGGAAGTGTCTCTTGTAAAGAAAATTAATGTTATGCCAACAGTTTTCATGGCATGTGATAATAATCATAAGGGTAAAATCTCAAAAGAAAAAATTGCTGATATAAAAACTCAACTTGAATACATTGAGCAAGAGTCTCAATGGTATTATTTTAACATTTTAAATAACTATCCTTAATGTTCTACCATACTGACATCTTTTTTTGCTGAAATAAATATATTTCATAAAAATAATGCTTGTTATTTTATTTTTCACATAAGCCCTTTTTAAGTTCACATAATCTAAATATGATTTACATGAAATTATACAAAGGTGTTAAGTTCGTATTTTCTCTGTATTTTAATAAATATATTAAAAATACTTTATTTCTGTTTTATAATTTAGTAAGAAATGATATTTCAAAAAGTATTGACTATTCAGATTTAGATAAAACATTTAAAATGTATAGCTACCTTGCTTTTAGATTTAAAATTTTCAAACGCTCATATCTCAATTTGAATTTTTTGTTAGTTAACACCTTTGTCCACTTACCCCTTCAATTATGAACACTGGTCAGTTGGCTGTAACAGTTTTTCTTTTGCCTGTTTACGTAGTTAATTATTAATACGTAGATTTAAAAGTTTGGACAAGAGGACAGTAATGGATTTTCATACTTACTTTGCAGACATTAATTTAAAGAAATGACAAACTTTCCGTGTTCTTTTTTTTTTAAGTAATGCAAACATTTCCGAGCATGTTTGAAAAATATTGAAATAGATCGCTATTAGCGGTGATAACTCTAAGCAAAAGGCGAGTGGGGGTCGTCAGGAAGGATGTATACATGTTTGAACTAACTACCTTACTACCAGGCACAGACCTAAAAAACTTTAAAATTACTACCTCTGTGGTCGAACGGTTAGCATGCTCGTCTGCCACGCAGAGGTCCCGGGTTCAATTCCCGGGCCGGGAGAAATATTTGTGTGACCTACATTTATTTCTCTCGTGAGTTTGGACGTAATTTGTTGTCTATATAAATAAGGTTGTCTGTGTCCCAGGCACTCGCAACACAGTGTTCGTTATTATTATTAAAAATTGTCAGTACAACAAAAACGGAAAAGTTTATTTATAGTAAAATTATGTTTTGTAAACAGTCATGGAACAAAAGTTACCGTTTATGATGTTAATTCAGAAATAGTAATACAGTCCTGAGAGGTTTTTAGTATTTTACATATAACCGTGTATAATATTTTGCTCGATTTTTTTTGCCTTTTATCTTTAGCTCGATTTTGGTCTCTAGCGCGCAGCTGTGTTTTCATCCACTATTTAAAATTTAAAATAATAACACAGGGCGCTTTCAAAATAGAGTCTTGTAGCAGCAACATCTCTAGTCAGCTGCTAGTATTTGCAAAGGTACCTGGCTGAGTGAAGAAATAGATTTCTCACAGTTGGCGTTACGGCAAAAAGTCGTTAAAAACCAAAAACAGAGATCTGCCACAAGCACTTAGAAAAATTCGTAAGGTCCGTTGGTTCGTTCCATGGCTTAGTTAGCGTATGTCTGGTACGGTACCAGTCGGATCGAAGGAATTTTTTTTAGTGTTCGATATTTGTATTAATAATTATAATAAACGTTTCATTTTTCAGCAATTGTTTATCAAAATTTTTAAACCTCAGTCACGCGAAAGGTGACATCTTTAATTTCTATACCTCATATTTTAGTTTTATTCTAAATAATAATACAATCCGATCGTATTTACATTTCACCAATAGGTTAAATCAATAATAAAGTAATAATATGAATGATAAATTTTCGGAGGGCGACGATTCTGACAAAAGCTCGCTTGTCACATTTCAAACGACACTGAAAATAGAAATAACGTCGTTAAACTTGTAATATTCTATTTTACTGTAATTCAGTAAACCTTTTCCTGTCACGAGGATTTGCTGCGCATACGCATATACTATCGCGAGGCGTGGGGATTACAGATAGCGTAAAGTGAGTGTAGGTCTCCTCATTTGCCATTCTGTCGGATGTTGGACTATTTGCATCTAGGTTTTTCTCAAGATCGTGGTGTAACGCACCAAATAAGGGAAGTCAAAACAAAGCAGTCGTTGAAGTCGGACTGTGAGATGATGATGACGCGTCTAGTTCCTGGTAACGACTGATAACACTACGTAACAAATTTTAAAAAAGGGTCTGTTTCTAGTTTGGCATTGGTTTTTTTCAATTGATCAGAAAGAGGTTGCTTTTGTGGCTGTCACAGTAGTATTGCCATGGCTGCCTATTTAACAGCTACATAGTAATATCTATATAGCCTTTTAAAACTATACATTTCTAGGTTCTTTGTTATCAGTCTATTTTAGTTGACATACAGTGGGTTTATTTTCTAATTGGGCCTATATGGGGAATTATGAAACCACAGTAAATACATTAAGTCTTTATTTGTAAAAACAATTTTGGCATAGTACATTTATGGTCAAGCGTGACTTGTCCATAAAAATGAATAAAATCCGTAAATTTTTTTAGTGCTGTTCGACTAAGCGTCACGTAAGGATCATTTCATTATATTGGAAGAAAGAATCAGACAGCAGAAGTTGGTCAAATTTGATAAAATTATTTTCATACAAAATTAATACAATTGACTAATTTTGTTTATTTTTCTCGTACAAGAAGAAAAAATCAGAAGAAGTTGGTCAAATTTGATAAAATGTTTTTCTGATCAGCTTCTGCGGTCTCGATTTCTTCTTTCAATACAATGAAATGATCCTTACATGACACTAAGTCGATCAGCTCTAAAAAAATTTAATGAATTTTATTCATTTTTATGGACAACGTACACTTGACCAAAAAATTTACTGACAAAATTGTTTTCACAAAAAAAAGACTTAATGGTTTCTAAGACACCTTTCCTGTATCTTCTGTAATTTCGGATTTCCCCATACTGTCCCATTAAAAAAACACACTATATATATTATTAATTTCAATTCAAATAATGTTCTCTTTTTTGTCTTTAAATAAAGAGAAACCCGAAAATCTTCACGTTTCCTGGATGATAGCACGCTAATTTCCACTTTTCATTGTCCTGACCACAAAAGCAATGTTTTTTCAAGTTTTTATGATAGAACCAATTAGAAAATATTGATAACCCAGAAACAAATCGTGCTACATAGTGTAATCATAAGAGCTGCTTCACACGGCGAGCCTTAGCAGCGATGCAAACGCGATGCGGTCGCTAATCGTCTACCTTTATACATGTGTGCGATTTTAAACATCGACGCATCGATACAAGCGCGCGATTGCATCGCTACCCCAAGTGCATCTACTATAATGCTTTCCGTCATGGTGAAAGAATTTGCCAATCGGTGTAAGGTACTCGTCGAGTACGTCATGCGGGGAGGCACCAATCGTGCACCCTTAAGAGTGGTTACACATGGCGATCTTTAGCAGCGATGCAAACGCCTATCGCAATTGTAGCGATGCAATCGCGCGTATGTCATCGATACGATAAGAAGAAGGGTTAATCACAGACGCGATTGTTGCATGCGACAGCCAAATAGTGACAGGAAACGGTGTACGATATTGTGTCTCACATTTTAGCCGACTTCTTGGTATGTTTCTGGTAAGACCCTTTGGCCAAGCCAGAGGGGCCTTTGGAAAGGCCAGCGGGGCCCCTGGCGATGCCCTTGTTCTCTCTCTTCTTGTCTCTAGATTCTGGGCCCTCGGGCTTCACGATCTGACCCGTTCGTAGATCCGGATCGGGGCCGTTCCACGGCATGTAATCCAATCTGATAAAAATAAAAACAATATTTTAATTCACAATGAATTTTCGTAACCTTTAAAGGACATTGTCTTTTAAAATGACTGAAGATTAGTTAGGACTCGGACAAAAGAATTATGAAATATTTTGGCGCAAGTAACAACTATGTCTATAAGTCAATATACTGGTACAATTTACACTTGAGTGAAACGCGTGTGTGCGTATGCTAGGGTGCAATACTAGTCACACAAGGCAAAGCACTGTGAACCGAGTTGTTAAGACTATGAATCATCACGAGACTATGTGGTATACATACAATAGCAGGTTATCCTGAGGGCCCTGTCGCAGACCCGCATTCGGCCCACTGGGCGGCGTCGCGAATAGAGACTTGTGCTTCTTCTCAGAGCTATTATTTGGCTTCAATATTGGCCTGAAATAATATACACCTTGAAGGAAATTTAATAACAAGGATTACTGCGTCCTTGGACGACGCAACGTCGTGTGTTTATTTTCTACGAAAATGTAGCACCGCTAACAACAACTACCGTAGGTAATTACATGTTTTTATGCTGTCCAAATACCTTTGAAGACAATCAAAAAGTATCATAAAATTAAAAACAATAGTTAGTGTTACCATAATATAATTATAAGTATACGTAGTTCATGAAATATTATTTGGTCCGATTAGAATTATCGGATAACGTACATATCTTGCATGGAACAATTTTATATAAAATTCTGTTCTATATTTTAGATGCATAATCTCTAATTTAAGCGACATTAGGTACAACAGTAGTGTATTTAGAAGTATGCCTTGTAATTTATTTTGTTTCGATTTTTTTGCCTTTTGTCTTTAAACCGTCACGCGTTCTAGAGACACTTAATTAAAAGCAATAATTAGTTTAACCATCTAATTATAAGCATAGTTCACGAAATATTATTTGGATTGATTAATGGTACGAACTAGGACGCCTTGTCTTTTATTTTTTTAAGAGTGTAATAAAAATTAAAACTTCTGTTTTTACCTATAACGTTAATAGAGACCGTTTAGTTTGTCTAGTCTACTGGGATTTTTTTTTCAGATAACTCCACGCTATCTGATGTTAAATGCAAAGTGGAATCCTCCAAACGTGAAGGAGCACATAAAAAAATTCGTGAGGTCCGTTGGTTCGTTCCGTGGCTTAGTTGGTATAGCGTCTGGCACGGTATGCAAGAAGACGTCGGTTC